GAGAAGATTCATTCACTCAGTTCTCTTGTGATGAAAAACCATTTGACAGACAAATTAGACAGCAATTGTACTGGACTATAGTATCAATAAAAAGGAGGTGGATCGATCCATTTGAAGGGCTTTCAGGGTTATTTTACGACATATGTAAATCTGATGCAGCAACGAGGCTTGTTAAATACATGTGGTCAATCGTCTACACGAAAGACCCTTAAAGGGATGTTCCACCCCTGAGTGAACATTAGTCTGTTGCCGTATTCGCCATTTAGATCAGTGAAGAAACGCATTTTACAACCAGCCCAGCTGTTCTCCTAATCTAGCAGTATCCTGTTAGCTTTAGCTTAGCATTAACAATGTAAGTGAATGGTAAAAGCTAGCATTTAGTGTGAAAAAGTCATGAAGATGATTCAATTATGATCCAACTTTTTCTTGGTGACCTCAATAATCATATCGACTCCAAATGAAATTAATAAGTAACATGAAGGAATTACAGGAGGCGCTGTAGAGTTGGGACTACATTACGAATTCAAACTGCTGTAAGCCATCACAGTAAGGTGCAAGGGCGTGACACATTGGCCCCAAATAACACCTACTTTATCCATCATTTATTCAGCCATTTTTCCACAACTTACTCTGATGTTCAGTAACTAAACCCCAAAATACATTTTTTGCTTATAAACTGTATAATTGGGTCTTTACAAATGTAATCTTTCTGTTTCTGTGCATTTTTTGACACGTTTGTGTAAACTTGATTTAATCTTGAATCTAGGTCTAAAAACGTCCTAGTGCTGCCCCCTGTGGCAGAACAGCAGCTACTGCATTTTAAACTTGTGATTGACTGTGTTGGAACAATTTCACGTCATCAGTACAGTCTCCTCCCACTCCCCCTCCCTCCCAGGATGGAAATTCCCCACAGGTGGCCATGCCACTCTGTGCCTCCTGGCAACACCCACTTTCATAGCATTTTTCAAATCTTGACTAGGGGTGGAGTTACATTTTCTGATGGTGTGCTGTCCCTCTTTAAAGAGCAAGTAACCCCCTACCAGAGTATGGCAGTGTTTGAGATAAGCCAGTTCTGCGCAGATTAAATCAGCGGTGATCGGCAAGCAGTGCATGCCGGTTAGATTTGTGTCCGACTTGACGCCGACTTGGTCTGACGTCATGCATACGTAGGCTACGATAACCTCGTGAGATCAAGGCGGCTGCAGATTTTGGAGCAAGGCGCTTCAGTTGTTCTCCATTGGCTGCAAAACCTAGGGGATGACGGGAAACGCCTGGCTCTCACCTGATCGAAGATCTAATTGGTTCATATTTTGATCCAAACATCCGGTGGTAGAACATGAAATGTTCGTTGGTCACATGTATTCTGTAAATCATGTTACGTTGATGATGACAACAATATAGGCCATAAAGAGAAATGTGTCTTGTTTTCTTTTGTCACGTTTCCTATGAGCACACTGAAGCTACAGCTGATAACCTTTACTTATTATTACAGTCATGCCTTCATATACAATATATGATATCCACAAGCACGTGAGGATGTGTTTCAGCTGCTAACAGGCACCAGAATTAAAATTGAAAATTAAAAAAGTGTGAACTCTAACGCGATATCTTCATCCATCGTCACCACGAGCTACACATGTAGGGAAATATGTCCGACTTAAACGCCGGCTTTCAGCCACTCCCCCTGCTGCTTCCATCTGCTCTCGTCTGGTTTCCAAGCGAGACGCTGCTCAACTCGAACAAGGCCTATTACTCCACTCCCACTGCCTGTTTGAAAAATGCAACAAATGCTGTTGCCTAGCAGACTGAGAGGGCGGAGCCGCTAACAAATACACACACACAGGCTCACAACGACATTGTGACATCATATGGTACCAGCTAACATTCTAGGGTCCCTAGAAGACATGCATTTGTGTTCATGGAAGTAATGTCTTTTAGAATTTGTATGATTGAAATGCTAGCTGTTACCATTCACACACATTGTTTATGCTAAGCTACAGCTAACAGAATAGGGCTTGTGATTGTGACTTCAGGCGTGTGAGTCCTTACTTATTGCTTGTTTCTACTGTAAACAGCACGCTCAGTCTCATTCTTGCGGCTTAAATTAATCGATTATCCATTTGGTCAGTTATATTACACAACTCTAGTAAATCGTCGCTGCGTTGTGGGGTGACACACGTGATTGCCAGGGGAATGAAGGTGGAAAACAAGCTAACTTTTCACCCTTTTCCTGCTTAGAGCCAAAACCACGAAGCCCAAGTATCTAGCTTAATGTCTTGTTGGCTCACTTGGATCGCAGATATAAGGCGACTAAACATCACCTTCCAGTGTATTTTCAATCTGGTAAGTTACAGATGGTGTACGGTTTTTATACATCATTTCTTTCCTTCAACTGCGACATTCACATGAAACACACACACACACACACAGAGGCTAGCTAATGCGGGTGCACTGACACAACACAACTTCTCTCGCTACACTTCTTCTGTAGGAGGACAATTTGGATTGTTTTACTAGAAAAACCAACAAATAAAACGTTTAACTCGCATCTGGACGTTTGCATCCGCTCACACCACAAAAAAGAAAGCCGAAAATGTCCGTTATGCAGAACTGCAGCGGGAACAATACGTCATCGGTGCTCTGGTCTTGGGTCTTTCATGTAGATCAAAACCATTTATAACGATGATATTGTCCACATACTGGTCCCCAATATCTTTAATTAACGTGCCCCTGTATATTCCGCATCCTTTTTGGGATCTCATGTTGTTTAACACTTTCTTTCACTCAAATCCACTTCTTCTCTGCGACAGTACCGTTTTGTTTACACTCGCCAAGCTTCCTGTCCGCGCACATCCCATAATGCTATGCGTAATCACGTGTGATCAAAAGCCCTATATTACCAGACTAGGAGAATGACTGGGCTGGATACAAAATGCTTTCTTCTCCACTTATCTAACTCTGAGTAATACAACCACAGGCTAAATTTCACTTAGGGGTGGAATATCTTTAAAGTCAATCACAAAAAAAGACTTTTTTTCCCCCTGCTGTTTATTTAGTTGATGTAGTTCTTCTGTAAAAATAACTAAGATGAAAGACAAAAAGTCATCCAGTGCAGATGTTTGGGCTGCGAAGCATTCATCTTCTACACAAAACAGATCAGTTGAGCAGTAAAATAGACCCTTTGAAATATTTGTCTCTGAAATTTGGTTTTCCAAGAAAATAAAGAAGTCATCGCCTCCTTTGTCTTGACCACATTCCACCAGATTCCCACGCTCCATCTCCCGTCGGTCCCGTATACACCACTGCTGAGTGAACTTCAGCAGGTGTAGGGACTCGGATGTTCTGAGGTGTCAAAACTGAACAGAAACAGATCCAGGACAGTGAGACTGATCACATCAGACATGATCCTCCTCAGCTGGACATACTGAGGTCTTTCTGACAGGCAATCAGTTCCCCAGGAGACACCCGTCCCCAAGTATTGTCACCCAGAAAAGAAGGCTGGATCGATGGATCCTCCACCACCATCCAGGTGAGAGTGAGCGAGTGAGTGTTGCTGCAAATGCATTCATTCATTCATTCTGGGTTTTAGTGACAAAACCATTTAGTGGTGAATCATCAACAAGCAGATAACTCACTAACCTCACGGGCAGGCCCGGATTAATGCACAGGCTTGATATGGCTTAAGCCTAGGGGCCCACGTGTGTTCTGGGGCCCCCATTGTCCAGCTAAAAATATATGATTTTATTTAAATTTACATGCAAGAATATTCTTGAACTGTATTGGCTGACAAAATCATAAGCAACATTGATTGGGTAAACATTGTGGCGGTCTTGAGTGAAGTAACGTGTCACATGATGCGTCATATTCATGTATCATAGGCTGCTCTTAACGAGGGAAATGAAAAAAAATGTCAGAAAGAAAATGAGAGTGGCACTCAGAAAAGAAAAACGGAGAGAATCAAAGAACAAAAGCACAAAAATCTTCTGCAGAAAATCCCAAAATTGACAGGATATTTTAAAGCTGCTGCTGGACCCAACAGCAGGTTATAGAAAAGCAACACGTTCACGATGAAGGCAACGGAGCTACGCTAGCTGGAGCGGCAGAGGTTCATGATGCTAGCTCAAAGGAGGGAACGAGCAGTCACAGAGAAGCTGATATTGTCCACTTGGGGGCAGAGGCAGACCTGCTTCAAGTTGTTTCTGATGGGAGCCCGGCAGAAGGTCCTAGCCAGGTGACGCTGACGGTGGATGCTAACTTAAACCCGGATCCTGGCTGCTGGGGTGAAATGGATGAAAATGCCAGAAAATATTGGTAAATCATGGTTAATTCACAAATACCCTATGATTAATTAGATTAACATTTTTAGGTGTTTGACAGCCCTAATTAAAATAAATATCTGCAGATAAAAATATGGGATAAGAATATTTCACTTCGATCAAGCATTTTTGGTTCCGAACAAGTGTAGCCTATGGGCCCCTGTCCTCCTGTTAATCCTCCCCTGCTCACGGGTTGTTTATTATTATTGTTTTAGAAGGTTTCTAAGCTCAAAATGCTTCTGAATGTTTTATTTTTCAAATATGAGCCTCACTGCCACCTTAATGTTACAGCAGGTTAATGAAGTGATCCGAAAATTTTATTCCTGCTTGACTGTAAATAATTTTAAGGTATGCAAAATCCCCACATGAAATAAAAAAAACTATTTATGCATGTAAATTAAAATTTTTAAAATGTTTTTAGAACCAGAGGGAGAGGGTCACCACTTCCCCTGGCTTCTAATTTACTGAATTATTCCAGCAGCTTTTCATGGAAATATGAAAGAAATGTAGCGTTACCTTTAATCTGAAGATAAAAAGGTCATCATTATGTAAAAAATTTACCATTTCATTTATTTTCTGGTAATCTTGTAAGAACATTTTGTCCACCAGACTTATCAAAATGTCCAATTTACTGCAAAATTTTGACTGCCAACAAAAAAAAAATCTTCAGCCAAGAGACAGAAGCATGTTTGAAATGAGAATTTAATGTTTATTTTCTGACAGACTTTACAGCATAGTTGTTAGTTAGACTGATCATTACACTGAAGTGATGAAAGCTGACGACGTGCACACTGGTAGCGCACACTTAATATTTTCAGATTTGAACATGGCGTTAAAGTTTCCATCTTTATGTACAGTATATATGTTTGTGAATAGAAGGTAAAAAAATATTTCACAATTTGCGAAATTACAATTCAGAAACTGCAAACCATCGATTTGAATGGCAAAGATAAAATGAGGCAGGATGAGTAAAAAGGGGGAAATCTCCACTCCGCTTCGTCTTCCAGAACTCGTCCTACGATGAGGCTGATCCTAAATGACCCGTGAACTCTAACATAAAGCCTTTTTATTGCTCTCTGTTCCACCGGAGTTCCAGAATAAAGGTTCTGCTTTAGTAAAGTGCACGCTGTGGGAGTCGAATCAGGAAAATGGAATTAGACCCGGGAGAAAGACAGACGTGTCATGGTGGATTAACAACAGCAGGGGTTATTAAGCTGAGTCATGGTGTGAACGCACTCATGGGGCTACTAAACGGGACGGTTCAGGTGATTTCAGGCGGGTGGTTAGGAAAATCAGGAGAAATTCATGTCTTAGCTCTATGCAAGACCTCAGTTTGGAGAAAGAGATGATCTCTGCTCAGATCTATACGCTAAGAGTCACAGTGAGGTCAGTTACATGACTGGCCTGCTTTTGACTAGCTGTTAGCCTATCAGTCTGGTCAGAACTAATTTCGGTTTCCCTAAACTGAGTCGGTTCAAAGAGCCAGTTCACAACCGGTAGGATGATCCCTCACCACCTGAACCACCACTTTATTATTAAACTGCTATCATCAAATTAGACCTAGCTCATTTTAACCCACGTACAACTTAGCTACCCTGTAAGAAATTAAATGTTCAGTTTACCTAACTGAGTTATGTCAACTGGTCCCACTAAATCGTGTATATAAAAGAGTAATATCACTGTTCTATGTTGTGTTATTGGAACTCTGAGGTAAATTTACAAGAACTTCCCGACGTGCGTGTCTCCCCTTGACCGGGCGGGCTGAACGGCTGTTTTCCAGAACTTTCTGAGCAGGGGTAGGTACTCGGAAAGGCCTGGTGGAGTAGCCGAGCGGAGCTTTTGGTTAACTCACCCTGATTGGTTGTAACTCAGTAGGAAGTGGTTTCAGCAGATACCGTTCAAAACAACTGTTAGAAGAGTTGCTTGTGAAGCAGAAATGGAAGCAAAAGAAAATAAGCACGATCACCAGAAATTCCCCCGCAACAGCGTAATTCACGGGGCTTTGTTGTCTCACTGAGTGCCATAAAAAATTTGCTTCTTCTAGTCAATGAACGCCCCATTTTATGCTACTCTCGTCCTGCAATGGATTAAATTATGATATACTTCAACAGAATAAGACTTAATATTATTAATGTAACTGTTTTTTGGCGCTGATCAGTGACATCACTCACTGGTGAAGCATTGGTGGTATGCTGACGTCTGTGCAAAGTTCTGAAAGGGCTGAAGCTGAATTTGAACAACAGCTGAGAGGACCAGGACATTGCATCGCCCACTCAATTTCCCAGAATTGACCGTGAAGTTCCGACAATGGAAACACGACTCTTTACATGAAGCAACTATTTTATGTATTTAGCAGACGCTTTTGTCCAAAGCGACTTACAAGTGATAATCGGCATGTTGTCCTTGAAGCTAACAACAATAACAACTTAACATCAATCATGGAGAGGAGGGAACAATGAGTGGACAGTAGAGAGGGGGGCGGGTGCAGGGAGGGGTGCTGGTTAAGAAGATGCTCTCTGAAGAGCAGGGTCTTCAGGAGTTTCTTGAAAATTGAAAAGGAAGCCGCACTTAGGACAAGTGTTGCAAATTAGCACGTGTGCTAACACACTAAACAATGCATCTGGTTCGTCCAATGTAATTGCTGTGTCCATGTCAAATAAACATCACTACTACTAGTTCTGGTAGTGCTTGGTAGGTCATTCCACATTTGTGGAACGATGCATGAGAAGAGTCTGGATTGTCCTGAGCGTGGTGTAGGCACTGCTAGCCGACGATCCTGCGATGACCGGAGCGGCCGGGCCGAGACGTAAGCCTTTGCAAGAGGATTCAGGTAGATGGGAGCCGTACCATCTCGGACTTTGTATGCTAGTGTTAGCAATTTGAATTTGATGCGTGCTGCTAGCGGTAGCCAGTGGAGCTCAATGAACAGAGGGGTGACGTGACATTCGGTATAAAGCAACAGCTGTTGTTACAATGAAGCACCCGAACATTTAAAGCACGTGATTATAGAAGAAGCAAAAACAAGAGGCATCAGTGAAAAAGACGGCTACGTTCTGAAACAATCACAAAAACCTCCAGAAACATCCAGTTTCAGACAATTTAACTGTTGATTTGATTTCAAGCAACGAGACAGATGCGACAATTATAATGAACCGTGGAACCAGTTGACATAACCTGGTTAAGTAAACTGAAGACTGTTTTTTACAGTGTACAAAGTGCATCAGTTTAGAATATTTATAGGATGTTTTAGCTAAGTTGCTGCTGAAATCCCCCCCCCCCCGGGCATTTAATAAATTCTTAGAAAATTAAAAGTAAAATATTTTTGGTGGAAATGTGTTTCATTCATACCTAAAGATAAATTATACAAAAAATTATCCTGATTTAAAATTTCATAATTCATGCATGAAAGGATTAAATAAAAATTTAAGAATCAACTTACACAAAATCCAAGAGAACCAAATGAAAAATGTATAGAAACAAATAACTGGTGATCAGTTCAACTGAACACAAATATTTAATTCATTCTTGACCGTTTCCATGAATCCTGCCGGTTTCTTTGATTGGAGGCAAAACTTCAGCTCCTCTGTTGAAGTAAACACAGCGATGGTTTAATGCACACGCCAACATAAAAGCAAAGACATTCGGTATAAAGCGACAGCTGTTGTTACAATGGAGCACCCGAACATTTAAAGCACATGATTATAGAAGAAGCAAAAACAAGAGGCATCAGTGAAAAAGACGGCTACGTTCTGAAACAATCACAAAGACCTCCAGAAACATCCAGTTTGTTTATGCTTCCATCTGGAAAATTTCAGACAATTTAACTGTTGATTTGATTTCAAGCAACGAGACAGATGCGACAATTATAATAAACCGGTTCTTCTCTAAAGGCTATATGGCTTCAGAACATTAGAATATTTACATTATTATTTTGCACCAAACATTTCTCTTAAACACGTCAGAGAATGTTTGCCCAAATGTATTTGGTATGAAAAAGAAAAGAATATGAAAATAGTGATTCTTTCTTAATATAATCTAAAGTCTTTGGAATAATGTGAAGTAATGGTCGTCTCTGTAATTTAATCCCTAAACTTTTGGTTCCTTCTCATAAATCTTCAGACAAACATTAAAAAGAAAATGATTAGTTCCTGTTTGATGAAAAAAAAAAGTCACAGATAAATAAACTAAACATGTGTGGATTTACAATCAATAAATAATCCCAACAAAGTGGCATTTCCAACTGAATTCAGTGTTTTCCCTGGATTATAATAAGGTAAGATTAAAGGGAAATAATTTAAAACAATATAAACAAACATACAGCTACAAGACTAATCCCCGATCTCACTATGGTAACCATAGCAACTAGGGCTGGGCATGTGGCCTAAATATCACAGTATATAGAGTTCACCTTGATAACGATAACAAAAGTTATCCACTAGATGGGGCTGTTGGGACATTAACTTTACACACATTTTCTTTTTTTAAATACTAATTGTATTGGCATGGGAAAAATGATGTGTCAGAATTTTCAATTACGATAAATTTTTGATGTATCGCCCAGCCCTAATAGCAACCAGCTACTTAAATATAATCAGACTGAGTGGAAGTACACCAATTCTCTCCGGTGTTCGTCCTTTTTTGTTGTAATCTGAACTCTAGGGTGTAAAAGAATCAGGAACGGCGAGAGCAGCTAGGAGAAAAAAGAACCCAAATGCTAAAACGTGACTTCTGCTGAAGGTTCCTCTCCCCAGACAGAAAAAATTTTAAGGTGCAAATTTTTATCTGGACTTATTTAGTGGTCTTACAAACTAAATAAAAGTAACTTACATTAAAAATGTGATGAGACAAGCTAAAAAAACAAACACGTTCTTACCTTTTAGGATTGCCAAATAAGCTAAACGACAACATTACAAAGTTGTAAACTCTCATTCATCTATCAAACTTTAGTAAACGACGTGGAAATGTGAGCGGTTAGCTTCATCTAGCTGTTTCTGCACAGGTAAACATTTATGATCATGTTAAACATTCAGGATTAGTTACCGTTGTTAGTCACAAAGCTGTGCAAATGTCTTAACGAGTCATTTTAATGCCCGAGTCGGATAGCTGACTTTGCGTTTAGCAGTCATTTGTACAATTAAGAGTAAAATGACCGTTAAAGGGTATTTAATTTATTTAATACAACTAAACTGCATAGAATTACACACTTCCATATAATTTTTGCCACTACTGGCCGACAGTGTGATGCTAAGAATGTGGAGTGCAGAAAAAGACGCCCGTGCAAATCAGGATATTGATATGTGGCATGAGAAAGTGACAGCAGATGAGCATTCAGTAACTCAATAAAGAAATAAGAAAAAAAAGTCTACCTTAAGAACCGTAACGGGCACTAACGTAAAATATAAAACTCCTATAAATAAAAGTCATTTGGTTAGGAGAGCGGGTGTGACGGCGGATCTGAACATCTGTGCAAAAAAGCATTTCCAACATTCAGCCACACCGCGCTTTTAAAAGGATATTTTAGCCATTTTTAAGTGTTTTTTGTGTCAAAGTTCAACCTAATTATTATTTCAAAAGCTTTGTGAACAACTGTTTTTCTGGATAAACTGAGTTTCCATCCAACAGGAGTCTAGAGCTAAAAAATCTAAATGGATTCTGTCGTCTTAAAACAGCGAAGATCTCCAAACTTTCATAGCGGTTTGTAATATTAAAAATAATAACATTCAGATAATCAATTCCACGGTAAAAGCTTTTATCAAGGTAATTTATTGGTTATTTGCTGAAGTAAAAACCGCCACTTTTTGGTGCATCTTGAGGTGAAATCAGCTGATTTTCAATACTTCTGTTGAATTAACGCAAACAGAAAATTGACAAAGATGAACAGATTTATTCAATGACGTTGGCATAATCGTTAATTTTTTTAAAATAAAATTTATGTTCAGAGACGATTTTAAAAAAGCACCTAAAGACATTTGATTAAAATAATATAATAATAAAACACTGACGTTTAAGAAACTAGTTCATTTAAGGTGGCAGCTATGCACGTCTTGCACGTGTTCTGTCCTGTAGAATTTAAACTCCATTTCTCCAAACTGAGGCTGCTCACAGCAGGCGAGAATCATTGTTTACAACTTTTACACAGAAAAACACTTAAAATGGCTGAAATTTGAATAGAATCGAACGGCTAAACCTCCCCGACAACACAGAGGAGTTCCTTTAGCTCAGCAGCTCCTGCGGACCACAGCTTCTGTCATTTTAACCACAAATCTCCGGTTTGCAAAAATTCATTAAACACCATTTCAACTTTAAACCAACACCCAGACATATAAACAACTAATGTTTGTCAAATTAAAATGACAAAAGTAATAAAAGCACTGAGCGTGATGACCTGACATGATATAAGGCCAATTTTGTTTCTAAACAGCTACATCTGAACTAAAACGATCAAAGGCAAAAGTAACGCGTCGTGTTTTAAAGCGAACCAAAGATTCTGTTTGATTTGAGGCCCTGCGTGTCTCAGTGGTTTAAAGACTAAAAACAGACACTAAAGAAAAACAGTCCAGATCTTTGGTACTGCATAGTTCTTTCCTGCATCTCAGAGCAGCAGCGCTCCATTACTGTCTAATAAAATCAACAGTGATGACAACAACTAAGAAATGGCTCTTTACCCCGCGGGCTCCTGCTTAAACATAGACTTTCTGGTTATTACAGCATTCGCCGTTTTGGCTTTGTAATTGTTTTGTAACTCCTCTGAGTGAAGGCAGCCATGCAGCTCGACCTCACAGTTCTGGATCTCAGGGCAGGAAGGGTTCGTCCTCGTCTTCGTCCGCACTGGGACCGGGATCGCTCAGACACCGCGTCAGCTTTTGCTGCTCCCTCGTGTTCTCCGTTTCACCAGGTTTGTTTGGTCTGCTTGACCCACCAGGAAGCTTCATCGTCAGGCCCTGGTCCTCCTCTTGTTCCTTCCCGTCAGCCTCTCCCAGCTCATCCAGCAGCCTCACAGAGTCTGGGGACTGCGGGGACGCCAGGTCCACCTGGATCGTCGGCACGCCGCCTGACACTGGCTTCATGTTGTAAGATTGTGGATCTGCAGACAAAACAAATCAGGGTGTTACCAAAAACAGTCGTTGAAACATCGAGTAAATCACCGATTTCAGCACCATGCATGAACATTTCATGTACAGGGGGTGGGCGGTGGGCTTGTTGCAAATCATTTATGGGCTCCTAAACAACATTTATAACCAAACTTTGCACAAAAAGTCAGGAAATACGTTTGGTGGATTATTTCTTTGCGAGTTTTGGCAATAAATCTAGGAAAGTCCGATCAGAAATCATCACTACGGGATAGAACTTGTAAAGAAGACGACTCTGTCGAGGGAGCAACACAACTTCAACAACTCCTGGTTGAGGAATAGGATGCCATTCACAGCTAGACATGATCAGAATGATGACCAGCATAAGGGGGAGGAGCCTAGCTGTTGTAACTGTGTGTTAATCTTCCATTTGCCGCTGCGGCTCCTGACGGCCTCGTAGACAAAGTGTCAAAATGGGACAGTGTGTCTTATGACTGCAATCATCTAATGAACAAGGAGGCACTACTCACACATTTAGCCGCGATGCTCATTCTTGCCCGGCCTTTCCACTGGATGCATAACGCGTTTTACTTCTCTCGATGCAAAACTACAGCAAAAGCATTCCACGCAGCATGTCCCGAGGTGCAATGAAACAACTGGGGAATTGCAACAAGGCCGCTCATAATTTCGGCATTTCACACAATAACAAAAGAGGAGAATGATGGCAGCATGTATCCAAAAAGGTCTATGGTTTATTTTCTGTTCCGTTTACCTCAGCTACGGAAGTTTCACAAGAAATCACATACTTTTTTAGTCTTTTACTAGTTAAGCAACAGGAAATCTACATGCAACTTTTATTTTGAACGTTTCTGGATGTTTTATACTGCTTTGGTGTTCATCTTCCTGTCTGGCCCAATCCGAACTGCAGAGATTGATGCGATCTTGAGACGCAAGACGTAAAAAATATACTCAAAGGTGTAAATTTAGTGGAGCAACGCATCCGTACGCTTCTGGGACGCGCTCAAAATGTGACACACGGCTGGAGGAAATGCACCCGTCCACGATAATGGCGGCTAATCGCTAGGTACCACGCTTCGTGGAAGTTATGCAACGCTTACCCATCTGGTGGATCTGAATAAGTTTTACCTTCATGTAAAAGTGATCAATCAGGCTTTCTAATGACATAAGATTTATTACCAACAAACTTTGTTAAAACAATCAAATAATCCACCAAAAAGAAGTTTATTTCACAGTACAGGAGTGAGCAAACGTTCTGAGAACGACACAGATATGAATTATTACACAAAGATTAAAAGATGCTAAAATATTGCGACAGTTCCCAAAACCTTTGTTCGTGGCTGTATTGTGAAGAAAAAATAAAAACAAAGTAAATCAGACAGTGAAGCACATGCTGGGATACGTAAGCTCCCCGTGTGTAGCATGCTGATCAGAATCCGGCATGTCCTTCCTCATTAGTGATGAACAATCAGTGATCGTTTACAAACATGCGTGTTAGAATTATTATTCTTCTATCGCCACTGTCCACTCGCTACATACCTGAAGGCATTTTGTTTCCTTTTTGCTGCTGAGCAGGTATGAAATCTGTATTTCTGCCTAAAATGAAACCAGACTCTGGTTTAAACGGCACCCGGCAAAGAAACAAGAGAAATCTACCGCTGCAGCTGTGACCAGTAGCAGGGTAGCTCGGGTCTTTATTGATTTTTGATTACTGAGCGACACAAAACAAAACATCGGGTTCTTCAAAGGCCCGTTAGCGGCACCGAGGGCTCTGTTGGCAGATATTGGGTGTGTGAATGTGACCAACACTTGGATGGATGCGTTTACCTGAAGCCAGTCTGGCTCTAACCATGGTCGGGGAGTCCGGGGCAGCAGCGGGAACAGTCAGGTAGTTCGTCATCTCTTTAATCTGGGAAAACACAGATTTGATGAGGTTTGTTTTTTAGGTGTTGCAACATTAAGTCTTTATAAACATTCACCATCCATGAAGTACAAGAATTTAACGGCTTAAGGAACTCAACCAAACCAAGAGCTCCTAGCGAACCACCCTTCATCAATACCCTCATTAAATCTAATTTAAAGGTGCATTATGTAAGGATGACATCATGTGCTGCGATGGACTGGCTCTCTGTCCAGGGTGTACCCTGCCTGATTGCCAGTTGACCGCTGGAGATAGGCACCAGTCCCCCCGCGACCCTGCGTGGACAAGCGGGTTCAGAAAATGGATGGATGAATGACATCATGTGGTCAAATTTAGGTACTGCAGTCTACTTTTCTAAACAAAAAGCGACTATTTCACTACCGTTCGTGAGTTTCATGGCTGTTGCCATGTACGAATCAGCGCCAGAAGATTCTAGATGACGCGCAAAGACGAGTCCTATACAATAAGCTGATAATTAGATAAATACTTTTCACTGTAATATCAAGTTGTTGGTAATTGAAAAATTAACAAGATACTTTCAGAGCCGACTACTTGTTTCTAATTCACCGTTAGCATTGTTAGCTCAACATTAGCCTCTAGCCTGCTTCACCAGATATTAGAGTAAAACAAAAGGATGTCGTGACTTCTTAGGGCTACAAGAAATAACTTCTGGGTTGCTCCTGTTTTCTGGATAAGGAAAGATGATGAAAGCACTAAAGTGTAGGAGCGCTCAACTGGCAGACAAAACCACCTCATATTTCTGTAAAAACAAATATCAGACACAAATCCTAGTTTGTATCTGAAGAAATCTAAAAAAGGTGCAATGTTCTGTCGCTCACAGACAAACAAACATTTATGATTAACGGGGGTTATGTACCTTCTTGTCGATTGCCATCATCCTCTGCTTTTTCAGGATTAAGTCGCTAAATCCGTCCTCGTAGGGATCAGCCACCAGAGTGTGTCTGTTGTAGGAGTGCAACTGAAAAACAGAAATGAAAAAAGACCCACGCAAAGTGACTAATACAGCAGTGCTGCTAATTAACCAAGCACACGACGCCTACGGGAATAAAATCATTACAGTGTCTGGGGCTTAGAAAATAATCTATACATCATAAATTAAATAGGTCATGTTTTGTCTTTCCTTCAAATCTGAATTCATGATGCTTTCAAGACCAGTGAAACATGGAGGTGCATAACGGTGACAGAGATGAGAAAAAGCAGAGGAAGTAATGATTTCTTTGAAGGTGATACCCTCTGCCGTGTCCTCTGAAGGTTGCTCCTGAGGATTTTCCGGATCTCCTCTTCTCTGCCTTTGGACAGCTGTGGAAGAACTCTCTCTGCAGGTTTAGTAGTAGCTGGAGGGTTCTTGGGCTGAATGTTCCTAAGTAAAAATGCAGAAAAACACTCAGATTCTTTGTTTTCAAATGCTACAAAGAGCCGAAGCAAGCCGACACCGAAGCATGTCTGTTATTACACATTAAGGATGAGGAAACGCAGCATCGGTTATATGAGAAACAAATATTTTACGCTGTTTTTAACAACATATTTAAAAGTGTCCTAAAATTTAAACCACATTAACTTGATATTGTTTTTGAATGCAGGCAGCTCGGGGTGTCTCTCCCCTGCTTTCCTCTGTAACTGAATAATTAGTCAATAGCTGCGGAGAAACGGCTCGTTCTGAGAAAAGCTGGTTGAACACTTACCAAGCTTTCACACACACCTTTAGATTTGGATGTACCAACTAGAGATCCACTGATGGTTGTTTTAAATTATGTGCTGCTGATTCTTTCGAGTTGATTTTCCTGGCCGATATCTAAAAATTTTCATGCTAAAATGTCACCAATAACAACAGGAGGCACAGCTTTCCTGAACCCGAATCAGTTCTTGAGAACTGAATTTAACCAACTCTTGAACCTTCCTTCTGTTCACTGCTCGGTAATAAAATCAAACATTTAACCAAAGCTAATCAAACTAGAGCTGAAACGATTCCTCGAGTACCTCGAATAATTCGAGTACAAAAAATCCTCGAGTCAAATTCTCTGCCTCGAGGATTCGTTTAATTCATATTTAATTAATTCATGGCTTTGCAATCGCCCGTGGTCATGTTTCACCCGGACCGAAATAAGTGACGCACGTGCCCACTGGACTGCGAGTAGCGAATATAACTTAACTTTCTCTTAAGCCATGGCGGACAACGTTGACCCCGGTGGAGGGCGAAAAAGACAGAAAATGTCAAAGTTGTGGGACCATTTTTCACGTCGTAAGGTCAAAACGTAGTCCAGTATAAATACAGTAAAATGGATTTAGCCTAGCACAACACCACATCCTCCGTGCTGCAGCACCTGTAAATGTCACTTCTGCAAGCGGACTCGGAGCCTCTACAAGATCATGCTTTTTAGCCTGTATTTCTATATATTCTGCAGACACTGTGACTTTTTCGTTTGTAGCACTCAGTTTCAGCTCACACCGTACATCTGGTAGCAACACGTCGAACTTAAAATGTGCTAAAAATAGCAGTTTTTACACAACACGTCGGATTTTTTATTGTGTTATTGATGTCTGTTGTCCCTCGGGGTTTCTGCAGCAGGACACGGGTATTTATGAGAGTGGCGGAGGAAAACGAAAGAAAGTAAATACATGTTGTGTGATCAGTATAATTTGACAAAACCACAGCAAACATGCTTTTGGCAATCCTTGTTAGTGTGAGAAAAAAAGTGTAGAAATTAAAACGGACGTGTGTTAATAGGGAAACAGGGGCGAGCTGTTTGCGCCATGAGCGGTTCTGGTTCTGTTTGGGCCGCAGCCGCTCGCAGCGTTATCCTCCTAGTTATTGTCTGGCTTGCAGGCTAGCAGATTCTCGCATGAGGGGAAAATCGGCTCAGGTTGTTTACTTATTTTTTGCACAGGCATTTGTTTACTGTGAAGTAAAGTTGAAGTGCTGAAGTTATGCAAACTAATTTTGAATAAAACTTGAAGAATAACTGGCAATTGCTTGCTCATTTTAAGAGGTCTTTCATAATTATAACATGCTATTTGATATCAAATCACTTTTATTGTCACGTCACATGTGCAGGTACACTGGTACAGTACATGCGAGTGAAATTCTTGTGTGCGAGCTTCACAGCAACAGAGTTGTGCAAAAATACAGTAATGTAAAAACAAGTAAAATATAAAAATGGCTAATCTAAGTATACAAATGAATAAAGTAAACAATAAGATAAGAGATATAAAATGTACAGAGGTTGGTATGTGCAAAACAGTGGCATTAATGTACAGTATGGAGCGTGTAATGTTGGAACTTGGTGGAGCTCGCGACGAGGCAGCCATACTCGGCGCCATCTTGGCTCATCAATATATGATATAAAGGTTTACAAACACAAAAGGGTAATTTATTAGAGTACTCGATTAATCGAAAAAAGATTCGATAGAGTACTCGATTACAAAAATATTCGATAGCTGCAGCCCTAAATCAAACACATCAATAAACTGAACAAACAGGTAAATAAATGAAACGTTAACGTACTAAATTGATTTTTAAGCAGATGTGTTTCAGGAATGTAATTACACATTTAAATTCATTCTGCTGCAGCGCCAGGCTGCCTGCAGATGTGCCTGACTTTAAATCTGCTATTGAAAAAATAGTAAATATCAGCTGGATTTATTAGCAGAAATATACACCAGTCGATCCCTAGTACTACCAACCCATTCAGTGTCAGAAATATGTAAACATTAGTCACAGTAATGCTAACCGCAGACCAACACTAGCCCCAAGCTACTGCTAATGTCATTGGACGAGAAGAAAACAAGAAGATACGTAGTAGCACAGATTTCCAGGATGTAGAGGGAATATCCAGACTATGAATAAATTCCAGATATGTCCACAGCACGCATATCGAGTTATTCGGATCAACACGGCCCCACGTCGAGTTTCTAGCTTCAAGCAGCATCATAGAGCCATTGGGGTAAACCAGCCAATCAGCATGCAGCTCATTTCATATTCAAGTCTTGGCTGAGTGGGTGGGGCAAACCAGTCATTTCATTGTAGGGCTTAATAATGGGGATGCACAGGGCCATTAATCAGGGCTCCTGGGCCATTTTGAGCCCCAATAAAGTTTCCTAAACTTTACAGAGGCGCAAAGAACAGTTTCCTGTTTAAAAAAAATGTGTCCTAGAACTCCTGTTAGACATCAGACTGAATCAGAGCTAATAATCAACTCTGATTAACCAGAAACTTTAAAAGCAACATTCAAACCCACAAGCCAACAACACATTGAACGCCTTACTGTTGTTTGTCTTTGATGTTGATGGAGTTACGGACTACGTTTCATTTGGGAGAATAAAAGAGAACTCACTGCATGGAGACAGTGGAAGGGACCGCAGAGGGCAGTTTGGACCCACCCCCACTTTCCACCAGCTGAATGGCTTGTTTCATCTCCATCTTGTGGTAGAAGGCGATCAGCTGTGGCTCCTTAGAGCGTTCGCTCACTATAAGGAACTTCTTCACATACTTCTTGTTGAATCGGTTCAGCCTGAAAATAAATAAATAAATATAAATAATAAATACAGCAGGAATTTAAAATAATGACGAGAGATCTATTCAGTCTTAGCAAAAATATATGATTACAAATAGCTATTAAAGAGTCATCTGGACATTGATGATGAAATGATTCAGATTCTCTTGTCTGTTTTTCTTACATTAAAATGATAAAACATCATAAATCTCCAGCAGACCTAGTTAAAACATAAAATAGCAGCACTCGTGTCTACCACTAAATCATTATAAATCAGCTGAAGTTCTAATCCATACTTGTCCTTCCAGTGGTGATGACCATAGTGTCCACAGATGTCCTCAATTCCAGTCAGTAAGTGGTCCAAGAACTGGAAATTAAAACAAAAGTGGTTAAAACTAGCAAAGAAAATACTTCTGATCATATTAGAAACAAGTACCTCGGCCTTCTGTGGGGATCACCTTTGTTTTCTGTAAAGCTAATTTGTCTGGTCTTCCCTAAAAGCTGTGAAGCAACTGCAGCTTGTTCAGAATGCTGCTGCTAGAGTCTTAACAAGAACTAAGAGAACCAAGCACACCACTCCTGTTCTTAAATCTCTACACTGGCTACCAGTAAACTACAGAATTGATTTCAAAGTGCTTCTACTAATCACTCAGTTGCATGGAACCAAAATACATGTTAGATCTCCTTGTAGTATATACACCAGAGTATCTGCAGGTTTAAGGGAGCCAACTTTAAGACTTTTTAAGACCTTTTTATTAAGGCTACTTTGACCAAATTTAAGCAATTTTTTTTAATTAAATTTAAGCTATAATTTCCAGCTATTGCCTGGAACCGGTGCTAACCATGTCATAAACGTGGGATTAGCCATCCAGTTAGCATTAAACTTGCACTTCCCCATGGCGCAAGCTCCCACTAGCTTAACCAGCTAATGTGCTCATCTAAAAATAGCCCCCTTTCACAACCAACTGAATGTGTACGGTTCCGCTTACGCCAACATCATACACAAAAATGCTGAACACTAACTAGAAATTCATGAAAAATTTATAGAAATAAAAGAATCTTGTTTATTGGGTCTTTGGTAATTTAAGACCTTTGGAAACTCTATTTAATGATTATTTGTAATTTTTATGGATTTTTAAGGCCTTAAATTTGGAAAAGCAAATGTAAGACTTTTTAAGGACCCGCGGGTACCCTGATACACCCAGCAGGGCTTTGAGATCCTCAAGTAGTCAATGGGTAGAACCTCAGGTAAGAACCAAACAGGGTGAAGCTGCTTTTAGCTACTATGCTGCACACAGATGGAATCAGCGTCCTCATGACCTCAAACGTGCCTCAACTCCAACCTTTAAATCAAAATGGAAAACTTTCACGGATTCATCAGCCTTTGAATGAATATTTCTTATGGTGCCCCATCTGCGCTGTAACTGCTCAGCCTTTCGTCTTACTCTTACATCCAACTTTATTTGTGTATTTGAAATTTTATGTCAAAATCGGCTGTTTTATGTTGCCATGTTGATTTTATTGTTTTATGTTCTTGCTGCTCTTGTTCCTGGAAAGCACATTGAATCGCTTCTGTGTATGGCGTGCTCTACAAATAAAGCTTGCCTAAATGATAAAAGTTTAAGACACAAAAAATTATTTTTTTAAATGCTCTAAAAAATAAAAAATAAAAAGACAAGACACTTCAGTAAAACACACTTTGTCAGCATTGTTTCTGCATCAGTAAACATGCCCACTTGGGGACCAACAGCCACCACCAGTTTGACAAAAACAGACGTACAAGTTTTAAAACAGAACCAGATGACTGACTGGACCGAGCTTAATAACATCAGCATTCCTGCTACAGAACCAGAAAAACATACAAACATTTTTGTTGTTCTGGACGCAGCCAACTTGCAAACTGCCCCGGCGTTCTGACTCAGCCTGTAGATGACAGTCTGATGGGTGGTGTTGCTATGGTAACCAGTCATTAAGCCTAACCAGAGGATCCACGTCTGCGTTGGTGGAGGTGAATGATTTATATAAAGTCTGACCTGAACATCGGGGGTGAAGGCTCGGAGGACAGAGCCAGAGCAGTCAGCTAGACAACGATGCGGCAACATAAACACGCATCTAAACTCTTTTTCCTTTGTTTACTTAACATCTCAGCACAAATAAAGGAGTAAATTCCATCACACAAGATTAAAATTATAGGATTTAAATGCTATTACGTAATCTCTGAGAAGAGAATGTTGAAAACGATGAGCAAACAAATCTACAAACGACACAAAAACAACTTCATCTAAATTAAATTGCCATGCTGAGTGGAATTAAAAGTAAAAATAGATTCTGAGTCATCATAGAACTCCCTCTGGAACTACAACAAAGATAATAATTCATCTGAAACAATCTGAATTATGTTTGATACCAGCTGAACAGGAGTCTCATACCATGTCTGAAAATTAAATCAGAAAGTGTCAGAAGCCTGGATGGCTCCTTTATTCCTTCAGAGGACTCGGAGCGACGCTCCTCCTCCTCATCACTGGTGTTTTACATCCAAGGAGCCATTAGGGCTGTCTGCACCTCTCCTCAAGCTCTGGTGACATCGCTAAGCCCTAGAGAGGGTGTGTGTGTGTGTGTGTGTGTGTGTGTGTGTGTGTGTGTGTGTGTGTGTGTTTATACTGTAAAGTTACATTAATTCTAATAAACTTTTCAAACACTGAAGACTGCTATGATTAATTTAAACCTAAAAGTACACAAGGTCACTTACATTACAGAGGTGTAGTAAAACAAGGCCACAAGTGAACATCTTTATAGATAAAGTACTGCTGAATGACCAGTAGGTGGAGACAAACGTCACATTTTCATCACCTCAATGGCCTGTTTTTATTTCTTCCTCTTACACCTGTCACATTTTCCACAACTGAACAACAGGAGACGATCCGATTAATTTGTGCATGCCTTAATCTAGGAACGTGTTAATAACTAAGCGACTGTTAATATCTATGTGAGTATTTAGTAGGCATGGGTGTGAGAATGACAAAGATGAGCTTTGTGTATTGTGGCCCTGTCCACACGTAGCCGGGCATCTCCCAAAACAAAGATATTTTTTTACGAGTCGGTCTGACATTCACACAAAAACCCAGATTTTGACAACGAAAACAAATCTTTTCAAAAACTCGGACCAAAGTGAAGATTTGCATCTTCTCTGTTTTAAGCGTTTGTGCGGACAGAAATAACCGGAGTTTTAGGTTTCACAACGACACAGTCTGCGATAAAATTGCTGACGGCCCATGTGCGACCTGTGTTTACACTACAACGTGGATACCCTCAGAGCTGTGCTCGTTATGATTCGTCCAAGCGCTTTTTGACTTAACGCTCCAAAACTACATTTAAGAGCACTTCTGCCTCCTTATCGGTCCACAATTACGAGCTAGGCGCCGTGTTTCATGTTTTGTTGAAGTTGAGCAAGAAGGCAAAAGGGATAGGATTTGTGGGAACTGCTGCCACCTACAGGTCTGGCATGCCTATGAATGTGTTTAACAATGGACTTATGCCGTTACGTGTGGATTAGGGCTGGGCAATAAATCGAAAATTTATCGTTATCGAAATTTCTGACTCTTTATCGAGATAATTTTCCCCATGTCAATAAATTTGATAATAAAAAAATTAGATGTGTGTTGGTTGGCAACATTCCTGTCCCTTTATGGGCTCGACACACGGGAGGCGACATCGCCTCTCCTCCATTCATTTTCAATGAGACATGTGCGACAAAGCGATAATCGCGGGTCTCTCTCCTACCAAGCGAAACGCAAAAAACGTGCGTGTGAAATTTTGTGCTCGTGCCGTGCACGGACGACCCAGCGACGCGATCCCAGAAAGTTGAAACATTTTCAACTTTTCATCGCTGTCGCTCGGACGAGGACCAATCAACGGAGGTTTCATTCACTGACCAATGAGCGGACAGGATGCTCCGCACATCTCCGAGCAAACATGGAGGAGAAGTTGATTTACTAAGACATCACAATATAACTGTAGACACATTACTTGTCTGTGTGTGTGTGTGTGTGTGTGTGTGTGTGTGTGTGTGTGTGTGTGTGTGTGTGTGTGTGTGTGTGTGTGTGTGTGTGTGTGTGTGTGTGTGTGTGTGTGTGTGTGTGTGTGTGTCGGCTCTGTCTTCTCGATCCCCAGTGAGTCGTGGAGGATGGCTGCTTATACTGAGCCAGGATTCTCTGGAGGTTTCTTCCTGTTAAAAGGGAGTTTTCCTCTCCACTGTCGCTTTATGCTTGCTTGGTATGAGGATTGCTGTATAGTCACTGACACTAGTCAGTGACTTGATGCAATTTGCTGGGTTCCTTATATAGGAAACATTATTTTTGATTGGCTTAATGAACTGACCTGAATTGGAATTTTTATTATATGAAGTGCCTTGAGACGACTCTTGTCGTGATTTGGCGCTATATAAATAAAATTAAATTGAATTGAATTGAATATTATGTTTTATATAGTAAAATCAGAAGTAAGATTTCACATAACTCTAGCAGCACCTTGTGAAACATCATATCTACCACTTTTTAAACTCTGAGCCGCTTACCCCAAGATTCCACTACCTCCGCTCCGCCCCCGCCTTCCGCAGCCGCTCGCTTCCGAACTCAATTTTTACTGCTACCCGCTCTACAACGGCTCCGCTCCGGTGCGGAGACCTGGGGTGCGCAAACAGGCATGCGCGGGATTTTCGAGATCTTGCGATACAGTCCGAGCAATAAACGCGGAAGTTAGATCCAAACACCCGTTGTGTGGGAGAAGCATCGAAATGAACTGTTTAATCTGCCCATCATTTGTGTTGAGAGATCAGCAGTGTTTGGATCAACAAAGTGTGACTACTTTGATAGTGGAAACTGTATTTATGGCTTATTTTTGTGCATTCAAAGTTCAGCCGCCATTGATAGTTGTTAAAAGTTGTTAAACCTGTGCATATGAAACAAAAAATGCTTTTTGTTTATCGATTTATTGTGAAAAAACGGAAGTTGTGCTTTCTCCCTTTCCTGTTGGGCGGTTGTGATTTCTGTCCATTGACTGCGGAGGTGGTCCGGCGTCCGGCAAAAATAGAATCAATCCTATTTTTGCCGGATGGCAGAACGGCGGGCGGCGCACTGCGCTGCACGGCCGCAGTCGTGGAACAGCTCTGACTGACTATAACGGGACCGATTTTGCTGCAGCGTTCGTGCCGGAGCGGAGCGGAGGTAGTGGAATTTTGGGGTTAAATAACCTTAATTCCCTCCAACCTGACACCGTCAAACAAAACAACGGAAGTTTCGATTTCGCCATGGAATAGAACGCGTAGACGCTTTTGCCGCTGGCCGCGGGTCGCCTCCCGTGTGTCAGGTAATAAAAGCGACAGCAACAAATTTCGCTGATCGCGGTCGTTTGTCACCTCCCGTGTGTCGAGCCCATTAAGAAGCTGTGCCACCTTGAGTCGTGTAGAAATGTGACTCAACGTAATACACATGACAGCCCCATCTAGTGGACAGCTTTTGTTTCTACGCATACCTGTAGTTATCGTCCATTTATCGTTACCATGATATTGATTTTAGGCCATATCGCCCAGCCCTAGATGAAGATTTTTCTTCAAACACAATTGTGTGGACATTATTTTTGGGAGGGTGGATATTCGTGTTTAAAAAATAATAAAAACGGGCTACATGTGGAGAAGGCCTATGTGTACCAAATGTACGAATGCAGAAGATTTTCTATGACTGACGTTTCCCATGACGGCAGCACCGTAAATGGATCTGTCTTCTCATCTAGACACACATTGGCAGGTCTGTACCTGTGTGTGGATCTCCTCATTAATCGAGCGCTTGGCCTCTTGTTTCTTCTTCACAGCCAGCAGCTCCACCAGGGGTTTGATGGTCATGCCCTTGAAGGTGAAGATGAAGAAAGTCACTTTGAACACTGCATATGTGTAAGTTAGAATATACCCAGGTTCCTGAATCTAAAGCCAATAACTTTTAATATTTTGTTGGTTTTAGATTTTGTTTCAAAAGCTTGGTCTGACTGAACTAAAGGGTAAAAGGTTACATGATAAATGAGTTAAAGCTGCAATAGCAAATTTGGGAAACAATTTAGCTTCAAACATTTTATTCATGCTTCTTAGCGTTCTTACATAGTATTGCGATAAATATATTGTGAAGATATAATAAAACAAACAAAATTAAATTTAGGAGTGTTCTCTCGCATTTTTCGAAACACCTCTGCTAACAACACGCCTCGAACTAAAAGCAACTATTGGACCATCCAGTTGTCGGTCTCGCCAAACTTCAGCACTTCCCTGGGTCCTCCATTCACATGTCTATCAACAGAACACCACTGGTGTGAGAGGTTCTCTGCTCAATAATATCAGAGAAGGAGAAACAGGCGGCTGCTACCACTTCAACTTTAGAACAAACATTTTTGAAGTTGCGGACAACAAAAAAAGTTTGGATGAAGAAAACTGCAACTGGTGTTTAGCGCTCTCTTGTTTCCTTGGGCAATCAGTGGGTGTGGTCTGGGGATGATACCTGACAGGAGGGGTGCGTTTTCTGTAACTGTGTTGGGGTTTAAAAGCTAGCTTGTTTTGCAGATTTGCTATTGCAGTGAGGGCCGTATTCATACCTGAACAAAGACAGTGAAGAAAATCACGGTGATGATGGCAGTCAAGAACATGTCTCTCATGTGGAAGTGATCCTCTTTCAACAGGAAACCGAGGGAAAAGGCAATGGCCCCACGCAGGCCACCATAGGCGATGATGAACTGGTCCTTGGTGGTCAGCTTGACTATGCGGAACTTGTTGATGATGAAGGTGAGACCGACCACACCTGTGAACAAAAACAGTGCTTAGTTCATTTAGACTGAAACTGCTGGTTTTATCTACAGCACATGGAAGCATTTAGCTGGTAAACATTCTACAAAACACCTGAAATGTCTTAACTTCTTCAGATTTTCAGTAAACAACTGACCTCTAACTCGCAAAACTTCAAGTACATTTTGATCACAAGGTTTGGCATCATTGATTTGGAAGCATTTGACAAAACTCATGATTCTTTCTCTGTTTGTTCCTCCCGTTTGAACAAATCTAGTGATAAATGATAAACAGCATGGCTCGCCACATCCTTAAACCAACAAGGAAGTCCCTCATGGGTCCATCTTTCACCCAGTGACAGCTGTGTGATGAACACGCCCCTGAGGGGGATCAAAGTTCCCTTATTTATATCAAAACCTTTTACACATTTAATAAAAATGTTGATCTGTATAGCTTTTACAGCATCGCGTAAATAAGACTAGAACAGATATTTGGAGCCGACCTATGACTCGAGCAACCAGACACAGGACGACGCTCATTGTGACAAAGATCCAGTTCCAGGAGTGGCGTCCATCTACTGTGGCCACACCAAGGAAGATGAAGATCAGCGTCTCACTAACGCTGCTCAACATTTTCAGGAAGTACTTGATGGTGGTGTGGGACTTGTGGGATATGTTGGCCTCTATGTATGGTCGCATCACCGCTCCGCATGCTATCAACCTGCAAAAAAATAAATAAATTAATTAAAATAAATAAATAAAATCTTCAGTTCAGTTTAAAATTCCTAATTCCAGATATTACAAAAGTTTCTGCTTCCAAACATGACATTTTCCAGATCATGTGACTTATTACATTTAACAGGGAAGTGACCACAGAAACGCACACTGACAACAAAGATCTCTTCATCATCGGCTGGTAACCACTTCTGCTTTAATAAATACTCATGCTATGGCTCTGTCAAAAACAGGGAAGCTAGATTTTATATATACATATATACATATATATATATATATATATATATATATATATATATATATATATGTATGTATGTATATATATGTATACATATATATATATATATATATATATATATATATACATACATACATACATATATACACATACATACATATATATATACACACATACATACATATATACATACATACATATATATACATACATACATACATACATATATATACATACATACATACATACATACATACATACATACATATATATATATATATATATATATATATATATATATATATATATATATATATATATATATATATATATATGTCACAAATCACATTTGCTGCCTTCCCATCTCATTGAACTGTAAGCTGCAGAAAAGGAGCATCCTTGAGGCTTCAAATACTCCGTTTCCTTCAGAAGGAAGAGACAGTAAATCTCTCCCCGTCAGCAGCATCACAAGTAATGGATGGCTATGTTCTGAAGCAGCTGATGAAACACCATCTCAAAAGATGTGGAGATGCACATAAATTGAGACATGGTTCAGGCAGAGTTAGATCACTTAACACGCCACTCATTAAAAAGAGCGTAATCGGCTGCAATATATGACTGAATTTTTAGAAGTTGCTGCAGATGCAAAAGTGCACGTTAACCAAAATACCTGATCCTTCTGCAGAATTACCCTAAACATGACAGAATAAACACCAAAATGCAGCCAACTAACTAGTATCTATGTAACAACGTCATAACAGGACATTTAAAGCTGGGGTGCTCCCAATTCCCCCTGACTGCGCTGTACTGCAGGTAAGATGTGGGGTGTGTCCGAATCCAGAGGCAGATGCTTGTGAGGACGCATTTTGAGGTCGATGACATCACAGCACAGCGACGAGTACTGTCCTCGCTCCACCCACATTTCGAGGATGGGTCTGTTGTATCCTCACAGAACAAGGCTATCCCAGCATGCTTTGCGCGCCAGCTGTGGATTTTCAACAGGAAGAGAAAATGGGGAGAGCTACGAAGTTTTAAACGTAAGTTTGTTTAAAAACTAGTGGTAGTAAACTAAAAAGCTTAAAGCGGTTCTGTTTATAGACATTTTTTGTTTGTATACTATATTTGTTTATTAAATTACATTTTAGGCAGAAATCAGCCAGAACGAGGTTGTATCGCGGGTCCCGTAGTTATTCCCGTTTGTGTGTGTTTCTTTAGCAAATTAAGCTTATCATTTGTTTTAAGGGCAACAGAACAAATAAGTGTTCTTATTAAGCTTAGAGGTGAAGAGTGAAGCGGTTTACAAATTACCACAGTAGTTCATCGTGTGTTCTGCTGTGAAAAGCAGTTTTACAGGCAGGGACACGTTTTTAAACAATTAAAAATTGTTTGTGTGAAGAATATAAATTTTATCTCCTCATGTGGATAAATGTAAAAATGTGTTTATTGCCTGTTTGTCACCTGTGGTCTCTGATTTCTCTGTTTAGGTCTGCAGGTGTCCAGGGTCAGGAGAGGCTTTACCTGGTGGTCCTCCTGGGAGAGAGGCCTTCTACTGTTGTCATGTTAATGTTATTTAGCTGTTTGATATTTGAACACATTTATTAAAACAAATAATGACTGATAACTCTTTTGATAATTCATTTTATCACCAGTTTTATTAACTACAGATGTTTTTGAACATGTTACATGAACAGAAAATGACAAGATGGTAAGGAGACAAGATTATTTATAATATGTGACATTTATTTACAGATCAAAACAAATGTGGATCAGTTACGTACGGTTCAATTCAATTCAAAAATACTTTATTAATCCCAGAGGGAAATTGATTAAAGCCGGATTAACCTGAGTGACTCTTCCTGGATCATTTATTTAAACTGAGTGAGCAGGAAGTCTTTGGCAGTGCAGCTGGAGGACGATCCAGACGTGGATGGAGGGCTGGAGCAGACCCGTGGTTGGACGTCTCTGGTCAGAGGGTGGAACATCATACAGGACGGTCTACAGAGAGAGCTTTGGGATGCTTCCTCTCACTGTCCACTCCATCGCCCATCTACAGGGACTGCTGGGCTGGCTCAGACAACGGCTGTTACATCTCTAAGATGTATTCATCCATCCATTTTCATCCACTTATCCGGAGTCGGGTCGCGGGGGCAGCAGCCTAAGGCGAGAGGCCCAGACTTCCCTCTCCCCAGCCGCTTGGGCCAGCGCCTCCGGGGGAATCCCAAGGCGTTCCCTGGTCAGGTGAGAGACATAGTCCCTCCACCGTGTCCTGGGTCTACCTTTAGGTCTCCTCCCGGTTGTACGTGCACGGAAATCCTCACCTGGGAGGCATCCAGGAGGCATCCTGACCAGATGCTCGAGCCACCTCAACTGGCTCCTCTCGATGTGGAGGAGCAGCGGGTCTACTCCAAGCCCCTCCCGAATGACCAAGCTTCTCACCCTATCTCTAAGGGAGAGCCCAGCCACTCTTTGGAGAAAACTCATTTTGGACGCTTGTATCCGCGATCTCGCTCTTTTGGTCACTACCCAAAGCTCATGACCATAGGTGAGGGTAGGAACGTAGATCTACCGGTAAATGGAAAGCTTCGCCTTCTGACTCAGCTCTCTCTTCAATACGACAGACCAGTACAACACCCGCATCACTGCAGACGCAGCACCAATCCGCCTATCGATCTCACGCTCCAGTTTTCCCTCACTCGTAAACAAGACCCTGAGATACTTAAACTCCTCCACTTGGGGCAGGACCTCATCCCTGACCCGGAGAAGGCATTCTACCCTTTTCCGAATCAAGGCCATGGTCTCAGATTTAGAGGAGCTGATTCTCATCCGAGCTGCTTCACACTCGGCTGCAAAAGCTGAAGATCACGTTCTGATGAAGCCAACAGGACCAAATCATCTGCAAAAAGCAGATCCTCGGGCCACCAAAACGGATCCCCTCGGTGGTGACAAAGGGTAGCCTTGGTGGAGTCCAACTCTCACTGGGAACGAGCCTGACTTACTGCCGGCAATGCGGACCAAGCTCTGACACCAGTCATACAGGGACCTAACAGCCCGTATCAGAGGGCTTGGTACCCCATACTCCCGGAGCACCTCCACAGGGTCCCCCGAGGGACGCGGTCAAACGCCTTCTCCAAATCCACAAAACACATGTAGACTGGTTGGGCAAATTCCCACGCACCCTCCAGGATCCCCCTAAGGCAGGGGTCGGCAACCTGTTCCCATCAAAGAGCCATTATTTCCCGTTTCCCACAGTAAAGAAAACACTGGGAGCCACAGCAGCCGCGGCGTTGTGGGCGGGGCCTACCCTCAGACAGTAGAGCGCTGCTCACAACAGGTGACAGCAGCCAGTACCAGTCGCTCGTGTACGTCAAAGTTATCTTTCATAAAATGATAATCAATAAAACGATTTATATAAAATGGATCCAGAAGTTGTAGCCCGTCTCTGCTACAATATGTTGATGTTTTTCACCCTGTTGTTGGTTTTACTGAGCAGGTGCCACTTTTGTCATACGTTTCTGTTTAAAACATGTTTAGACTGTTCAGAATACAAATCCAGGCCCTGTCACGTTTGATTGTTGGAATTAAACTTTGTAGGTGGGGAAGTTCAGAAAAGGATCCGATCAATTTGTGTTTCCCTCATTTAAAGTGACTGAGATAACGGTGCAGTGCGCCTGGCTCTGGTGTTAATCAAGTTAAATTATATCTCGTTGCAACAATTTTCACAAGAAAACAGAACAGTTAAAAGCAGGGCTTGTGTTGACCGGACAGTTCCCGTATTTGACCGTTTATTTTGACGGAGAAAGAATAGAAAGAATTACCCCGACGCATGCAGACGAACTGACATTTTATTCGTTTCGCACATCGCAGATGTAGCTAAATCACTCAAGATTCCCATCTGAACATCTGAGCTGGACACTGCTCAGCGCAGCTCGCTGTCAGCGCGTACGTACGGTGCACAGCGAGCTGAAGATGTGGAGAGGGGCTTGGAGCGCGTCGCAGAACCAGAGCGCATGCAGGAAGATTCTTCCGACTGAAGCGAGACTTGTCAGTTAGAAAATGTTCCCTGATTATGAAACTTTGGCTGAATAGTGCTTGTTCCTGTCTCCAATGTGGCGACACATCCAGGAGCTGTCTGAGGAGAATCCCAGAATCTCACATCCTCTTCAGCTCAGAAAGCGCCTATGATTACGCACAAGCGTGACCCGTCAACCTGGTCTCACAGTAAGACCGGGCTGGAACTGTTCAGGTTTACGCAGACAATCTTTACATTTAGAATTGGCTTACAGATGTAAAATTAATGCAGTAAAATATAAAGCATTTGATTTAAATATCCATTCATTATTTTACAAGCACAGAGAGCCGCATCAGATGGATGGAAGAGCCGCATGCGGCTCCAGAGCCGCGGGTTGCCGACCCCCGCCCTAAGGGTATAGAGCTGGTCCAGTGTTCCACGGCCAGGACGAAAACCACATTGCTCCTCCTGAATCTGAGGTTCAGCAATCCGACGGAACCTCCTCTCCAGAACTCCTGAATAGACCTTACCAGGAAGGCTCAGGAGTGTGATCCCCCTGTAGTTGGAACACACCCTGCGGCCCCCCTTTTTAAATAAGGGGACCACCACCCCGGTCTGCCAGTCCAGTGGGACTGCCCCCGATGTCCACGCGATATTGCAGAGCCGCGTCAGCCAACACAACCCCACAACATCCAGAGCCTTAAGGAACCACCCCCAGAGCCTTGCCACAGAGGAGCTTTTTAACCACCTCAGTGACCTCAGCACCAGAGATTTGAGAGGCCAACCCAAAGTCCCCAGACTCTGCTTCCTCACTGGAAGATGTGTTGGTAGGATTGAGGAGGTCTTCGAAGTATTCTGTCCACCGATCTGTATTCAGAAATATGAAATGAGGAGATGGTTTATGGATCCACTAGTATAACAATTGACACTTCAGCAAATAAAACCACAGTGTTGTTTTTGACAGAGGTTCCTACATAAATGACTTGTCTGTTAACAGCAGTGGTGGTCTGCTGGTACCTCCTCCAGGTACCTCCTCCAAGACAGAGCACCACTGACCCCCTCCACACACACCTTCACGCTCATCCTCCAGGCCCACAACTTCACCAGCACAGAGGCAGATGTGCAGAGTAGTGCATGCTGACCTGTAATAGATTTAAAAAGTTTTTTTTTTATTGAAAAATGTAAAACAAATCAATAACCTGCAGAACACTGGTTCTGTTCCGTTTAAAGGAAAGCAGCAAGGAATAAAAACTACAGAGAATTTACATTTTAAGACCGATCTAAGCATTATTAGGCAAATGCACATTGAAAACACTTCATGCTTATTTTATTAAAAAGCATCTTTTTAAAACAATTTACCCCATTTGATGCAAAATAAGTAGTTCTAAGGTCCAATTAACATTAGAAAATATCCTACTGCATTCAACATTTATAATGCATTTCATTTAAATTAATTACCTACATGATAATACTCTGTAGTAATGTGTTATTTAACCACAGTTCATTCTGTAGCTTAAAACATACATGAAACAATCTAAAGTTAACATGTAAGTCCTGAAAGCTTGTAAACAAAGTTACTTTACCTGAAAACGGTTGTGAACAAACACTGATGATGGAGGTAAAGCTGCTGTAGCTCCTTAAATATTCCTGCTCGATTTTCGCTAGCTTTAGCATTTTGCCTTTGCGCGTAGCTGCCGACACGGCTGTGACGGGACCTACGGGCCACCGTAGAGGTGAAGGCTAGACTGTCCGAATTCAGAGCCAATGGGTTCCAGTTTTAGTGGTCGAGCAAGGACTCGACCTTTCTAGACCGGCGAGGACCCATCCTCACAAGCATCCGGCCCCTGAATTCGGGACACACCCACTGACTGCTGATAATTTTCCACAAAATCTCATTTTAAAATATAACTATCATTTTATTATACGTACAGACAAAAGAAAGGGAGAATCAGGGGCGTGTCCAGGGAGTGGCCTGGGGTAGCACATGCCACCCTTGGAATCTGATTGGCCACCCCAGGTGCCAACACACTAATTTGCCTTTAAATAGGATTTTTGTTGTCCACAGAAGGCTTGGGGGTAAAACCAAAACAGCATAACCATTGATGCCACTCATGCACAAAGTTGTGTCTCACCTGGGCCACCCCATTTTACAAGATCTGGACACGCCACTGGGGAGGATTGAATCATTATTTCACCGTCATGTGAACAACCTCAAACCCAGACTTACGCCATGATGCCAGATAAGTGGAACACCTCGGCTGATAGGTAGGCCATGTAGCTGTACAGAAAGGCAAACAGCGGCTCGATGACGCGCGTGTGGGAGGTGAAGCGAGAGGTGAGGGCAGCCAGGAAACCGTACATCGCTCCGAAAAGAACTCCACCCAATGCAACTACAAGGAATGAGATGACTCCTAGAATTCCGTCCAGCACAGTCACTGAGCCATCAACTGAAAACTCCTCAAACAGGTGGTACAGCACCTAGCAGCGTGGAGGGAAAAGAAAGTCAATTAAAAAAACACACACACAACTGTAATGGTTACACCTCAGCTGGATTAATGGTTTTGTCTTCAAATAGACTACATTTTGCACAAGAAAAGGTGTTGCAGCAAAATTCCTGAACAACGGTGACAAAAACACCGCATCATACATATCAATGCGTTTATCTGCAAGATGAAATAAAATATATCATCTAATAAGTTGCCTAAGAAAAAAATAACCTTTTCTTCCAACCGCTTGACCAGCATGTTGCTTAAAGACGGACAATAATTATAAACGGAAATTTAACTTCACACTGATGTAAAACAAAGACTTGACCCAGTACTGGCTTTGGATCAGGTCTGTTTGGTCACTTGATAGCGTTGATGATGCTGGAGTTGAACAGACTAAACGAGGAGTGTGTTACGTGAGACAAGCCGAGTGGTGAAAGGCTACACAGCAGACAAACTACTCAAGTTTATGTCAACAGCTTGGTGGCAAATACAAAAAAAACATGCATGAAATGTTCTGAAAAGAATGATTGCATCATTGCATAATTTACAGATTTCTGTAGCAAATTCTAAAAATATAATCAACAATCTACGATATATCGGGCCGATATTTACAGTTTTTATGTGTCGCATCGGTTGATATTTGTCCTTAGTAAAGCCGATTTAACGTCAGGCACATCCTCCGGTAGCCCGGTGCTGTTGCAGAATTTGATTTAAATTTTATGTTCACTAATAACACCTGCATAATAAAGACTATTGATGCACCCATATGAAATTTTTGGGCCGATACCGATATTAATATCACTGTTATAGCCGATAACAGATATTTGCCAATACCGATATATTGACATTAATGCTTCTAAAATCCGCAGATTTGATACAGAATGAAAATTATTAAAGCTGTAATAATGGTGTGTAAAGTCACGTGGTACTGCAAGCAAACAGCTGGCATCAACAAACTTCATGTAAATACACCTCAATACTAGAGATGTAAGAAAATATCGATATGGCAATATGTCGAGACATTTTTTCCTGTAATATTATATCGATATTCAAAAGCCATGTATCCCATTTTTGGAAGAATTTCCATGCAAACATTTGTGTATTTCCTTTTCTTTTGGTGAATTTCATACGGCGACCGCTAGTTGCCAGCAGTGTGAAGTGGCTCTTGTTTCCACCACTGAAAGGTAAATCCCTCTGTTATGGTTCAGATACCTCATGTTAAACATGTTGTGTATCAGTTTGGACTGTTTATTGAATTTTCCTAAAATAATTTCAGTCTAAAAAAATCGCTAAAATCGTCTGACTGAATGTATCTCAATATTTCGTGATATATCGTACCGGCTCCCCCGCATCGTAATACATATCGTCTCACCGTAATTTCACCAGTACACATCCCTAGTCAATACAAACAAAATTTTAAACTTTACTAATTTATTTATTGATTTAAGATTTAATACATTATGGGTATTAATTTTCCTTAAATTTATCAACTTTAAATATTTTACAAAACCCTGCAGATACCCTGATTATTGAGGGACCAGCAGAACACAAAGAATCTTTCTTTAACATTATGATTTAACCACGGTTTCGGGTACTTACCACAGTCACAGCATCATTGAGCAGTGACTCGCCAAACACCAGGATGTGCAATAGCTCATTTATGTGAATCTCCTCGAAAACAGCTAGAACAGCAACTGGGTCTACAGCCGAGATGATGGAGCCAAACAGCAAGCAAGGCAGAATTCCTATGGCGGTGAGGTCCGAATTTGAGATCTGACAAATGCCGTACAGCAAGCCTCCGATGAAGAAGGCGTTCCACAGGGTTCCTATGACAGCAAACATCAGGATTGTTCCAAGATTTTCCATGAAGGGGCGGATGGGGAGGAAGTAGCCAGCATCCAGGATGATGGGAGGTAAAAGATAAAGGAAGAAGAACTTGGAATCCAGCACAGGGGGCACCTCCTCTCTGGCTAGTTTGATGAGTCCCCCAACCAGCAGGCCAACAACTATAAGCAGGCAGCTCTCTGGAACGATACTCGACAGACGAGGGATCAGGTGGAAACCTGGAAAATGATGGATAAATAAATAAATAAATAAATATAAGGATTAAATTCTACTTCTGCAAAACCAACATAGTTGTTCTGTACTAACATTTTAGACTTTTTCACATCAGCTGAGTGGGATAATCATGAAAATGTAGCTGAAAATGAGTGCAGACACACTAAAATCATTTGAATCCGTTTTCCTAATAAGAAAATCAACATAATCAGTTGATTTCACGGACAGCTTCCAGAATCTTAAACGGTTTCAAAGCACATAAACACTTGAAATACTAAAGTGGGTATCCTGTTCCAGAGAAATACCGAGTCATGTTTAGGCTCAGCTGCCATGTCAGAGCTTGCTGATCATAACTTCAGTGTTTCAGCTGCAAACTTGACTGAACGCATCATCACTGGTCTAGCAGCTGCAAACTCCACAACATAATAATGCAAAAATGTAATCAATGCAAATCAGATAAAAGTAGAGCTGAAACAACTAATCGATTTAATCGATTATAATCGATTATTAAAATAGTTAACTTTTTTAGTCATCGATTAGTTGTTTAATAATCATATTTTACCGCATAAAGTCTATTTTTTACCACAATCTGACATCGGTTACAATCTGTTAAATTTGCCGCCAGTGGGTGGCAGTAATGAGCCACTGATCTACCAGTGGAGCCGTAGAAGAAGAAATGAGCCAATAAGTGCCCTCGGTTTTCATGACGTATCACGTTACTGACGCTCATCTTGCTGTGAGAGATGGCGGATCAAGAAGAAATACGGAAGAAAAATAGAAGCGACAAAACAAGAGAAACCCCGGACAAAAACCTCACGAGTACTGGAGCATTTCACTCTAGATGCTTTTAAAAGACGGGTGACCTGCAAAATATGCAAAAACCATGGCACGACGGAAGCACGACGTCCCTATGTGAACATTTGAGACGAAAACATGTGGGAGCTGATGCAGCAGAGGAAAGTCCGGTGAATCCGGTAAGTAACAGAAAATAAACAAGCTAACACAGATCAAATTTGGGAGCCGAGTTCGTTATAGTGAATGTTAAACAGGTTTTTTTGCCGCGTCAGTCTACGGCGTTCTACTTCTGATTGACTAGATGCAATCGTGAATCTCCTCCGTGTTGTGTATCATGCGCTTGCCAAATTTAGCACGTCTGTTTATAAGAATGTTCTCGTTAAGAGAAAAACGGCACAAACCCATGCTCCTCATTCAAAAAAGGACAACTCAGCGGAGAAAAATATACAGACGAGCTGTGTCCAGGTGAATATAACGTGGCATAGTTGTACGCTTTCAATTTTTAAATACAGGAGAAATTCAGAAAGTCCTTTTTTTTTTTACTATTAAAAGGCTGTTTTACTGTCTAACGCTGTAAAACGCCTCACAACACATTTTTATCAAAATAAATGATCACTGTATATTGTTAATTAATTCAAATAATGTAATATTGATTAAGTGTTGTAGTGTGTGTGCTGCTTTATTTTATATGTGTACTTATTTCAGTCTATTTGTGTTTCTTATGCAGAAAAAAACGAGCAACGATGGACAACTACATGGGGAACAACACACTCACCCCCCAGCAATGAATACCACTTACAAACTTTATTCTAGATTCTGCATTATTTTTTATGGAATTTGCCTCTTATATTTTGATGCCAAAAATTATTCTGGACTGATATTTTGCACTGTTTAGCTCATTTTACACCGCTGACTGTGTTCATGTGCAATAAAATAGATTGCAGTCAACTGCACAATTCTCTTATGTTTTTCTTTTTCTTAACTGAAATGTATTCATCACTTGTATAGGTTAAATAGCTAAACAATAACAAACCGATTAATCGATTAATCGAAAAAATAATCGACAGATTAATCGATTATGAAAATAATCGTTAGTTGCAGCCCTAGATAAAAGGAAAACTGTTTTGCCATAATCGCACATCGGGGAAATTAAAACACAAAAAAGGAATACCAGGAAATTAAAACTTGAAACTTCCAGCTGTAGTTGGTGCAGAATCGGAGCTAATCCTGCCTAACTGAGAACACCTTTCACAACCCCAGAATCAGAAGAGCTCACATCACAGCCAGTCATGTCCTCACAAGCAGTTCGTTTTCCGTATTAGCCAACAAACCGATGTCTGTTATACAGGGCCGGAGCTAGCCATATGGGTGCCCTATGCACAAACGCTCTCTTGCTCGACACAAGTTATCAATTTTTAGGAACATTTATTAGGAGGAACTTGTTAAAACCAGATCTTCCAACTCTCCAGAACTTCTTCACATTATCTATCCATCCATCCATCCATCTATCCATCAGCAGTAAAGATGCCTTCAAGCCATCCAAAATGCAGCAGCCAGACTCCTAACCAAATCCAGCAGACGAGCTCACATCACTCCAGTTTTACAGTCCCTCCACTGGCTCCCGGTAGAATATAGAATTCAGTTTAAAGTTTTAGTCCTGACCTATAGAGCTCTTAACAACCAGGCTCCAAGCTACCTATCTGAACTTTTGTCCCCACACCACCTCTCGGAACCTTAGATCCACATCTGAAAACCTCCTGGCTGTTCCTCGAACCAGACTGAAAACCAAAGGGGACAGGGCCTTTCAGACTATTGCACCCAGGCTTTGGAACAGTCTACCTTCAAATCTCCGTCTCTCTAACACTGTAGAGGTCTTTAAAAATCATCTAAAAACTCACCTTTTCATCCAGGCGTTCCCTCCCTAAATGTTTCAGAATGATGGCTTTGTTCGGGTTCACACCTTCACTTTGTTTATACTCATGATTTTATTTTCTACGTTTATCACTGCTATTGTTTTTCTGATGTTTTTATTGGTTAGAGGTATTTGCCCTGATCTTTATCATGTTGTACAGCGCTTTGTGATTTATATCTGAGAAAGGCGCTCTATAAATAAACTTTTACTTACTTACTTACTAAATAGTTACAGATACATGTCACAAATATCACACAGGGACTTTTATCTATAATTCATGTAAATTTATTTAAATTCCATCTAAGGGTGGGTAACATCATGCCATTCAATGCTACCAGTAATTATGTTTGGGCGAGAAAAAAAATCTTATGTTACACTAATTTTATGATGTAATTGCATCCACTAAACAAAGGACTATGTTCATGTGGGTCGTCAGCATTAAGTTATTGAATTTATGAAAGCAAGCATGGCGGGAATCTTAGTTTTACCTGTAATCTTGGTGTTTTTCTTCTTTTTCTCTAAGTGTATGTGCTGCTGTAATGAGGGAATTTCCCCACTATGGGATTAATAAAGTGAGTCTACTCTGTTCTATTCTATAAATTCATATCAGCAAGTAGGAAAAAATACATTTGAGGAATTATGACCTCTCCAGGCCTCCGTGCCAGTAACCTGGTTACACTGAGGAGGGGTTCGACTCGTCTCAGCACATCAACAGGAAAAACACACCAGTAAAGCGGTGACGTTTTAAATCACTGCGTAACCAACTAATTTGGGAGAGGGGAGGTGTGGGCGAGTCAGCACGGTAGAAAGCCCAGCTTGCTATGAGGGGCGAGCGATCCTGTGGATGAAACCCCGTCAAAATCGGCTGGAGTTGCGACTGCATTTCATTTCTAAATCAAAGCATGTCATTTTGGCGCCGTGCCCAGGTCACGGTTCTGAGGGAGAACCGGGCCTGCCCATCCCATCAGCAGCAGGTGAAGCTCACCGCTCTGCCCACCTCACAGCTAGAGCGGAAAGAAGCACATCAAGTTGGATTATTAGACCGAAGGGATTGTGTGTGTGAAATAACACCAGTTAAATGATTACGTCAATGTTGTTTCTGTGCATGTTGTCCGTGAAGTTAACTGATATTATAATTAACATAATCAGTTTTGTTTTTTCTTAAGCCTTGGTGCCTGGTGCCCCCTGGCCACTCGTGCCCTACGCACTGTGAGTGACACGCGTTAAAGGAGCACCGGCGCTGCTGTTATATAATCAGATTCGTGTCTCCACTGAGCACGTTTCACATGAAATGGAAAACAAACACAGTCCAGTCTATATATGTAGGCGGCAAGGTGACAGAACAACTGCAGCTGCCTGAACTGCCGTAACCAAAAGGTGTTAGAAGTCAATGCCCGGCTATATTTACCTTCCACTACTGCAGCACAGGTTTGTGTCAAGTTGGAACTTGTCAATGTAGCAAACAACTTTACGGAAAGCAAATAATGTCACAAAACAAACTGAATAATGAGCCATGCAAAGCAAAAATAGATCCCACAATTAGCTGAAGGACTATAGAAAGACATTGTTTTGGTGCACAGACATTGTTGGACACCAAAGCTGAGCCTGGCCTTCACGAGGAAGTGAAACTTGAAGTTTGCTAGAGATTTACAATCATGTGATGAGATTGGAGCCTCCCTTATATCCTTGTTTCACTAACAACGGCACAAACCTAAAACGTGATTGCTGAAACGACGTTATTCGTTTTAGAACACATGCCTATAGGATCCTGGTCCTCATGGACCACTTCCTGCATGTTTTCTAAGATTTCCTGGACCAACACAACTGGTTTGAATCAAAGGGTGATTAACAGGCTTCTGAAAAACCTGAGGACATACTGAACAGGTGACCTGAATAGTCCCGCCCTACGTCGAGATAAAAAGGCATGCATACAGCCACATTTGGCAGCCTCTCTCTCTCTGTTCATACTAGGTAGGGCTGCAACAACGAATCGATGAATTCGATGAAAATCGATTACTAAAAGCGTTGGCAACGAATTGCGTCATCGATTCGTTGTGTTGCGCAACTCTTCCAAAAGCCCCCTCCCCTCCCGCCCGCCGTTGCGCGCAGACCGGTGGAGAGCCGGCAGGTGTTTGCAAGAGGAACATGGCAGAAGCAGCGAGACCCCAAAAAAGTAAAAACTTCTAAAGTTTGGGAGCATTTTCAGTTAAATCAGGCAAAGACATGCAACGTTTGTAGGTCAGACTTAGCATGGCACGGGGATACTACGGTGATGATGCAGCGTCTTAAACGCAAGCA